GCAGTGGTCTAAACTACCATGATCCTTTCGGGATCCATCTACACACAACATGCCATAATACTTGAATACTTCCAAATAAAATCAATTACGGCGGCCGTTAAGCCTCGCATGTACCGCCACAAATCACATGCATAACTCAACGCGCTGAAGGAACTAATCATTGCCATCATCATGCCAATTCAAACATTGCTAGCCGACCCGTCTTCTCCCAATTTATTCTTAACTTTCCTTAGAAATAATAATAACTCCATTCATTACATCACGAACCTAAATCCGCACTCATCCCAAGTGACCTTATTTCATGAGACCATACTGTCCCGAATACCACGAACCATCTCATACCCTCATTGTGCGCATATTCGCATCTTCAACTGGTATACCCATTCTGATAATTCCTCCATGAATCCGAAGTCATTTCCTCCCATCCCTCTCATGTTACACCGCAGACCGAAGGTAACACAGAACACTCCAAGCCCCTATCATAATCCGCTGCAAAAGCTCGATACTCAACTATACTACGGACTCGAAATTCCCAGGCACCACACTTTAACTTTTGAATCCATTAGGACTATTGTTGAGAGTCACCCACTCTGACTTGGTCCCTAATATAGTCAACTCCAAGGCTCTACTAGCACATGAACACTATCTCAAAGAAGCACTCGGCTGAATCACTTTCCTTGCATATCACCTCTACACGAAGCATACATCCTAAGTCTTCCCAAAGCCTGAACATAAATTGATAAGGACACTTATAGCACACATTCTTTAAATCCTTTGCTCGAATCACCACTGATGTTCTTTTTCCTTAGTCGTAATAACCCACCAATACACCGATAATCAGGAACCTTACAAATAGATAACCATGCCATCTAATCGTGGGCGGTGGGTCTCTCTCACTTAGCTAGAAGCCACCACCGCATAACTCTGAAATCCACCAAGGTTCATCCTTTCTCTTTGACCTGACCTCGCGCTATCGAGCCACCAAATTCCTCAAAATCTTCCAATGATGCTGCACCGAATGCAATTACTACGAAACCAATAAATCATCCCGGGTCTATGCCCATTCACCGGCTGTACAAGCCCGTTCACTCCCCATTTGACATCAACTAAAACTGCGACAATACATTCCAATCCAGAGTCATGTTGTACCCTTCTTCATATCAAGAAACTCTTTTCTGTTGTATCCAATCTCCCCCGTATAATAACTAATATTCCAGATTAAGTTTATAGACCTAGTCACGGTTCACCATGAATCCCAAATCACTCTAAACTTTCTCAATGCGCGTATTCATCCTACCATCACATCAATACCATGCGATAACAACTGGTGAACATACTAGCAATCTATGCATAGCCTCAAAACCATCAGAAATACCGCTACCGAGCTGCAATGACAGAACATTCTTCCGCAAGGCGATAACATTAGTCCAATCAGATAAGCAGGGAGAAACATCCTGCACCACATCTATAATATCATTACAATTCCTCGATTCTCGATTTATAACAAGCACTTCACGTCGTATAAGATTGAATAGGAAAGAAGCATAGGCATAAGCGTCAAAGGAATCAAATCGCACGATGAGGAATCAAGAAGGGAAGTGCTCCTAACAGTCCAGTAGCCTCCCGAAGATAAGTACAGACATCTTTGTACCGATACGCAAGACTCTAATAGACTTGATCATGACTCGTGAGACCTAAGTGAACCTAGTGCTCTGACACCATGTTGTCATGAACCAAAATTCATTAAAGGTCGTGATAGGGCCGGACACCGCTGTCAGGCAAGCCAAAAATAAATACTTAATTCATTTTAGTATTTTGAAATCATGATTCTTTTCTTCTATTTAATAGTAAAAGATGGACTTAACAGAATAAATAATAATGTTTCTAACGATTTCAATACTGAATAACCCGTAATCATCCCAAAACCCGGTGTCACAAGTGCATGAGCGTCAACTAGGAAGATAAAATAAAATACAACACCTGTCTAGAATACAAATTAGATAGAAAAATACATAAGTAACTCTGAAGGGGGCTCTGCTGGCTACGGATCATAGATGAAAATGCAGCTCACCTAAGTCTCTGCATTAACCACACCTCTGCACCCGCAAGGTTGCTAGACATATATGCACATGCACAAAAATATGCAGCAAGTGTAGTATGAGTAGGTAAATCAACGTGTACCCAGAAAGTATCCAGTCTAACCTCGAAGAAGTAGTGACGAGGGGTCGACTTCGACAATTACTAGTGATCCAATAATATCAGGTACAATAAAGAAGTGAATAGATATGAAACGGAGTAAATATATGAAATAAACATGTATAAACATAATTCCCCTCTTTACAATTTTACTCGAGCTCTGGACTAACAAGTTCCCTCTGTAACCGGAGCATATATAGAGATGGTGGATTTCATCAAAGAGGTGGTCATAATTTAAATCAGGGAAAAACCTCAGATACACCGGCTTCTTGCTAATATTATGCACGATTCCATGAGGATAATATATATAGAAAATGCCGAGGCGTACGACCCGATCCAACATAAAAGTAAAATGTGCACTGCCGAGGGTCGAACGGCACGAACCGTAGATGCATCTATTAACCTGCCGAGGCGAACAGCCCGCTCCCATGAGAGTGTGGTACATAAATCCTGCCGAGGCGAACAGCCCGATCCCATAAGAGTGTGGTACATAAATTCTACCGAGGCGAATGACCCGATTCCATAAGAGTGGTAGAAGGAAATACCCCGCTCACGAATCATACGTGCGACACGATCAAATAAAAATTTAAGGAAATCTCCCCGATAGCGGATCATACTTGTGACACGGTCAAATATAATTTTAATATTAAAATCCTATCTCTTTCTTGATTCTTTTAAAAATAAAGGAAATTCAGCTTGTAGCCTTTTAAAGAAATTACCCCGCTCGAGAAACATACATGCGACGCGGTCACACATAGATTTCTTAAGTTATTATAGCATTCCTCAATCCTTTTAGAAATTACGAAGCTCAAATGAAACCTTTTAAATCTCAAGTTCTTTAATTTCAACTCCTTTCAAAACATTTAATAAGAAAACTCAATCTTGCTCCCTCTCGAGGCAAACGATAAACAAAAATCAATAACAATATCAACAAGGCATGACGTGAGCCTAAAACTACCCGGACATAGGCATATCTAGTAGCTACGTACGGACTTTCATCACCTTGTGCGTACGTAGCCCCCCACAAATAGAAGCACACAATAATTTAGTTCACCTATGGGGTTAATTTCCTCTTACAAGGTTAGAAAGGAGACTTGCCTTGTCCGAAATTCCATAACCGGCTCCAAAGCCTTTCCAACAACTCAAACCGATGTCCAACGCTCCAAAACTAGTCAATAAATGTGCAAATCCATAAATATATACTATAATACTCATTATAATTCAATTTACTACAATTTCTAACCCCGATCAAAAAGACGACAAAAATCATCCTGGGCCCACGTGCCCGGATTCCGAAAAGTTTCGAAGATAAATATTGAAATGCACTTCAACTCAAATTTATAAAATCTTTCCCAAAATGTCAACTTCCACAATAGGCGCGGAAACGCTCCAGGGTTATCCGAAACCCGATCTGGACATACGCCCAAGTCTGAAATCATCATACGAACCTGTTGGAACCTTTAAATCCCGATTCTGAGGTCGTTTACTCAAAAGTCAAAGTTTGGTCAACTCTTCCAACTTAATGCTTCTAAATTTAGAATTTTATTTCCAAACCAACTCCGAACTCCCCAAAATTAAATTCCAACCACACGTACAAGTCATAACACCTGAAGTGAAGCTTCTCAAGGCCTAGAACCCTTGAATGATGCGCCAGAGCTCAAAATGATCGGTCGAGTCGTTACAATGAGAGGCACTATAGCAATCACGCCGGGGAAGATTATTGGTAAAGACACTAATAAGAGCAGGGTATTATTGGCCAAAAATGGAAGAAGAAGCGGAAAGCTTTGTAGCCAAGTGCGATAAATGTCAACGATATGCCAATAACATGCATCGCCCAGCAAAACTGTTACATTCAGTTATTTCACCATGGCCTTTCATGAAGTGGGGAATGGATATTGTAGGCCTGTTGCCACAAGCTAAGGGAAAGGTACGATTCCTATTAGTTTTAACAGATTATTTTTCAAAATGGGTAGAAGCAGGTGCATTCAAATAGGTGCGAGAAAAAGAAGTTATGGACATTATTTGGCGAAACATTATCTGCCGATTTGGGGTTCCAAAGGAAATCGTATGTGACTGTAAGCACATAATTTTTGACCCGCACAATAAAGTTATTTTTAGTATTCGTAGTATTTTAATATCTAATTGAGTTTTTAGAATTTTTATCTTCAATTTTAATTTTAATTTTAGAACATAAATTTGAAAACATAAAAAAATAGTTTCACTTTCATCTTAGTTGTATTTAATTTAGGTTATTAGTGTTTTTATAGGAATATCATTTTAATATTGCTATTGCTTCTAGCTTATTTTGTTTTACTTTTATTTAAGTAAAATCTTTAAAAATGCCAAAAAAAAAAAGATTAACTTTTTATAGTTAGTTTTATTAGTTTATTCTAAATGATGGTGAGTAATTTTACCTTTTTTTTTTATAAGTATTTTGTATTATTATAGAAGAGGTTTTGGGTTTTTGGTTAACGAACCTTCAGATTAGAAAAGAAGACCAATTTTGATGCAATTTCGGCCAACTTTAAGCCCAACAAGACCAAAACCAAGCCTCAGCCCAATCGCCCTTAGCCACTATGACCCGACGACCCATATGTCCTACCCAACCCAGTGCATTTTTAATCTCATCCATTCACCCTACTCAAATCCAATGGCCACAATTCTTTCACACTATCACACAAAAATCTACTACCTCCGTTCCAGTTTATGTGAACCTATTTCCTTTTTTGGTCCGTTCCAAAAAGAATGACCCCTTTCTAAAATTTGAANCACGCGCTCTCACACGAAATTCATTTGAAGGCAAGGATAGGATTAATGGAGAGCGTACGATTGAGTCTCACTCGATCTACTCCCTCCATTTGTCCTTTACTTATTTTTAAAATCAAATTTTCAGATTTTCACGAGAAGAAAAGAAGGGAAATTTTCGGTTTCTTGGAGAGGAAGGAGAGAACATTTTAGGTTCTCTATATATACTCCATTTTTCAGATTTTCGTGGGGAATTTTTGGACAGAAAACTTTGGGGAAAAAGGGAGAACAGAGGAGAAGGTTCTAGAGTTTGAGGGAGGTTTCATTTTTGATTTCATCTACTTCTTTAGAGAATCTGATAGCCATCCGAGATTTACAGAATGAAAATTCCAAAAACGTTAGGTTTAGTTTCTCTTTTCTTTTGAATCAAATATCACAAAAAAAGAATTTGGCTTTTATTTTGATTTCGACCATGGAATTCACTTGAGGTGCTGAGATTTGGTTTGAGTTCGTTGTCGAGTTCGTGATTTCGGATCCCGGTTCCTGGACTAAATTAGCCCTTGTTTCGCTGGTTTTCAGACTCAAAGTTTGTAGTCGACCTGCTTTATTTTGCTATTAAAGAAAAACTGCTATTTCAGCCGAGCTTTCGCCGTCAACATTTCATTTGTTGGTACTTTCGACCAAAGTTAATTATAAGGAATTTGCTCGTTGAGGTCCACTCTTCTCCCTCTCTTTCTCTTTAATATTTTGCTTCTATGTGATTGAAATATAGTATTGGCCTATTATCCCAGTTTTCTCTGATTTTGGTTTTTGATTGTGTGATAACGTTAAGCACGATATTAGCTTTTTGAGCTTTGTTTGTATTTTCTAATCATGATTCTTAGTGCTTCATCAATATTAGTTTATATCTTGTTAGTTTTCAGTAGCGTAGTCATGTTCTCCTCTAGTAATTCTCTTTAAAGTTGCAATTGGGGTAGTCATTAATAAAGAATTTTGTCCATAGCACATTTAAATTGTCGGGAGCGGCACAAGTTATTCTTGATTTGTTAGGTGCTAAGTTACTTCTATCACAAAGTGTTTATTAGAATTTTATATTCCCTTCAAAGTGTTAGAGCTTACTGTAACTAGTTTTCTTATTGTCAATGGGTGTCTAGACAGAAAGTTATCTTATTCACATGTTTGATGGAGATCATTTTCTCAATAGATTAATAGGTCCTCTTAGTGTCAAGTTGGAATTATTTGACGGTACCTTTGAGCTTTAGTGGATTAGTCTCATAGTTTGGCTCATACCTCCTTTAATTGGATCTTGTTTAAAATGATCACTTGTTAAAATGGATTTTGGGGTAACTCGCGAGGCTAGCGTAGATGGATACATTATGAGTGCAATTGTTAAGAATTGAACTGAACAGTGAGTTCGTGCGACTTTATAGAGCTATAGGATTAGCCACCATATAGTGCGTAGTTCCCTAGAATTGAGAGATGATATACAAGGATGAGGTTAATCAAAGTTCAGAGGCTCTTCTCATGTTTCAAGACCATCTATTCTGTCGTTCCATTTTAGTTTAGTTGATAATTTTTTTTAAATACTTTTACGTGTTGAATGATTGAATTTGGTTGATCATTATGTGTCTTAAATGGTTGTTTGGCAGTAGGGATGGGGAAAAACTTAGCCCATCATTAATTGACTATTTCTCACATGCTTTAAAAATTAGGCTTGGTCAAATACCTGAAATAAGAAGTTAAAAGAATATTAGCATGATTTATAATTTTCATGTTATTTAATTCTCTTTTATTTATTCATTTAATTTGTTATATTATTCTCTAGTAGCATATTTAGGTTGGCCACATTCGGGTAGGCAAACTTTAGGCCTCTTTTTTTCTTTTCTTTTATTTGATGTGAGAGATCGCCCCCTTAGTTAATTAATCCATCCGAGGAATGCCCCGTAATACTTGTATTTGGAGGCTGTGCCGAGCATCGAGAAGGAAGCGGTGTAGTATAGATTAGAATTTTTAGTATACTTTCTTTAGTACTTTCTTTTCTCTTATTTTTCTTTTAGGTGGGGACGACCTCGAACCTTTTGTGCTTATTTCTTCTTTTATGTGTTTTACCTCAATTTGAATATCCTTTAAAGCCAATCGGATCATGTATGCAACCGTACTAGTTACGGAACTCGAAAAATGCCTAACACCTTCTCCCCGAGTTAAATGAACCCCCTTACTCAGAATTTCTGGTGCAGATTATGTTTTAGAGTCTAAGTGCGTTTTCAAAAGGAAAAATTATTTTTAAACGGTGACATGGCACATCGAAACAAAATGTCAGATGTTGACTCTGAAAATCTTTTGAAACACAATTTCGGTCACTTTCTAATTGAAAATCCTTTTGAGCTTTAAAATCAACTTTATCATTTTTAAAGAGGGTAGTTAAGGTAAAAAAAAGGGTGTGATAGCTTTGACGACTCCGTTGTGGAGTTGCAGGTTCGAGCTGATATTTGATCTAGTTGGTTTTTTAGAATATTCGGCTGAGGTGTTTGTTTTCTTTATTTGGTTTGTTTATTTTATTTCTTGCTTTATTGATTACATGTTTACCGCTTTCTTTATGTGCTTTACTATTTTAAAAATTATCATCATTTGCATAACTACAGGTCTTCTTTCTGCAACAAGTCTTCCGGAGTATGTTTGAGCGTACACGGTCTTTTTGTGAGTCACCCGTGTCTTTAGGGGAGGGGTGGCATGGGAGTGTGGAGTGGGCGGACAGCTAGAGCAGCCGCCATTGACCACGTGCCGCCCCGAATTGCCTTGTCTAGTGAACCCCAAACTTATGTCAGCCTTTAGGTCATTCTTATTTGCATCATGTTATTTAGACCTAGCAGGGCTCGGTCCCAGGCACCGTGTCCCTTTGTAGAAGGCCTATCCAAATTATATCAAAATGGGATCGTGGCCCAAAAAGACATTTAATTATCCCTATATACTACGTGCTGCATTCTTTAAGGGCAGAGGGATCATTTGGCAGACCAATGATGGTTGAGGGCAAATGAGAAAGGAAATAGGGTGAAGTACAAAAATGAAGCAAGTAGGATCTTTATTCAGGTTTTTCTTTCATAGCAAAAAAAATACACTTTCCCATCATTTTTCAAGAAAAAGCAAAAAATATGTTTTCTCCAAATTAGTTATTTTTTTTTCAAATTCTCTCCCATATCCAATCTTCACGAGCTACGTGAACCTGATTCTCGTCTTTTGGGGAGGGATATGTAGGCAACACACATAGGGTCCGGTCTTTCTAGTGAATCTTAAGTTCTTGGCTTCGAGGGTCGTAGCCAAATCTTGCATGTATAGCCACGTTTGGCCACATCAGTCATTTTTGTAAAATAGGGCTATTTTCTCAAAGTGACTTGTAAACCCATGTCTTAGAGTCCTAAGTATACAACAAGATATACTCTCATTTTAAGGTCCATTCCTGTTGAATTAGCATATTTAGCTATTTTTCGGCCACGTGGGCCATTTTTGCAAAGTGGGGTCATTTTTGCAAAGCAATTTTAGGGACCGCGATTCCTGAGAGTTTATGAGCCTTCGTGAGGTGTTTCCATGTTTTAGAGGTCATCCTAATTAATTTTTCACTTCTAGCCACATTTTGGCCACGTTGGCCATTTTACATAAATAACCCCACTCGCGCCTTGCATGTGCCCAATAGGAAGCGTTATGGTTTCACATAGTGTCCTGAGTCACTAACTCTATTTGGTCTTATTTTTGTCATTAAGGTATGGATCCACTTACCAGAGCTTGAGCATGAGAGACGCCCTAGGGCCGTCTCAACCAAGACTGTTGCATTTAGGAGCTACTTGAGGAGACTTTTTATACTTTAAGTCTGTTTTTGTGTTGTCTTCTACTTTATAGTCATGTCTCATAGTGTTGAGACTTAAAGGTGTTGTCAGAGTCTGTTGTAGTCTAGCTGAGTCTGTCATCGCACTTCCGATTTTGTATTTAAAAAACCAAAAAAGTGATAAATGAAAATTCAAAAAGATTTTGTTTTAAGTTTATTTTGTCCATCACTTTTCCAGAACTACGCTTGATCTGATTCATATGGAACATGATACGTAGGCAACCTACATCGGGTTCGATCAAATCATTTTTAAAAATTAAAAGAAAAAAAAGAAGAAGATGAAGTTGTGGGATGTGAGAAATGAGAGGAAAGAAAAGAGTGATAATCAGAAAGAAAAGAGATGAAAGAAAATAAGCAAACCAAGGAGCGCAAGAAAAATAATAAAGAGAAAAAGGGGAAAAAAGAGTGAACTTGGGATGATGCCAATGTGACCTTCGTACCCTCGAAGTCATTTTAGAACAGATAATTGTGACTAGGTGCATTGCACATAATGTGAGATTATCTTATGTTAAATGCCCTAACGCTAACGTGATGACTTCATTTTGTTCTTCTTTGTTATCTTCATTATAACAGAATGGTGGTTGGTTTGTGGTTCTTAAACTGGTAACTCTTCCTTACAACATAAAGTCGAAAGACAATGGCAGACGACAACGAAATTGAGTTGGTTGATACTGGTGCCCAAAAGCAATTGTTTGAACAAGACATTGAGTTTGTTGAAGAGGTAAAGATGTTAAGACAACACATGGCAGACATGTATCAGGCTTGGATGACTGGAAAGGCCCCACCCCCCCCACCACCTAGCTTCCTAGATGCTACCCTCACCCAAGCTCCGGTCATAGTGTTAGATGATCTACCATATTCTTCAGATTTTCTCGCTTATCATAGCCTTCCCAACCTCCCTAGTAGCTCCATCATTCGTCCTCCAACTACATTTCCAGAAAATAGCACTTCTGTCATATCCAGTACCTTCACTATCACAATTTCTCAACAACCTTTCCTCCATAAGTCCAACAATGAACACCAGTTCAAACCTCTTGATACACACTTCTCCCTAGTGTTGGCCCACCAAGTCCCAAGCTCATATAATTGTAGCCCTCAGAATGAGACTCAAGTTGAAAATAAAAAGTTCACAAGGAAAGACGAGCGAGATGAGATATCTATAAAGCTGAAAGGTATAGAACAATCCTTAAAGAACATGCAAGGGACGAAAAATCAAAATACCATGTCTTACAAGGACTTGTGCATGTTTCCTAATATTCAAGTGCCCGCGGGATTTAAGACACCAAAGTTTAACTTGTATGACGGGCGTGGAGATCCAGTAGCCCATCTAAGGGATTATTGTAGTGAAATGAGAAGTGTTGGCGGTGAATATGAGTTGTTGATGGTGTATTTTAGTGAGAGATTGAATGGGGCAGCCTTGGAATGGTATACTCGTTGAGATGTCAGTAAGTGGTATACATGGGGTGACATGGCTCAATATTTTGTTCGATACTTTCAGTACCATATAGACATTATCCCAAACCGCTCCTCCCTGTCTAAGATGGAAATGAAGCCCAAGGAAAGTTTAAGGGAATTTGGGCTTAGATGCAGGGAACAAGCTGCTCAGGTCAGTCTCCCGATTGATGAAGAAGAAATGGTTAAGCTTTTCCTACAAGCTCAGGTACGCACCTATTTCTATCATTTGATCCCAGCTTTAGGTAAGTCTTTCAATGATGTAGTAAAAATGGGGGAGATGGTAGAAGAAGGAATCAAGTCAGGAAAAATCATGAGCTACTCTGCTCTGAAAGATACTACAGAAGACATTCAGAACATCTCAGTAAGTTTGGGTGGAAGAAAGAGAAATAGAAAAGATGTTGTTGAGCCCCGCCAACGACAAGATCCAGGGATGTTCTTGCTCTACGCTTTCAGCCTCAACATCGACCCCATGAATATCTTTGTACTCCAGATAATTCTCCCCAATGCTATGTCATGACCCAAAATTCATTACAGGTCGTGATGACGCCGAACACCGCTGTCAGGCAAGCCAACAATAAACACTCAATTTGGTTTTCATTTTTAATATTTTTGAAATCATATTTTCTTCCTTCAATTAAATAATAATAGATGGAATTTACAAGATAACTAATAATGTTTTCAATAAATTTTAATACGGGACAACCCATAATCACCCCAAAATCCGGTGTCACAAGTGCATGAGCATCAACTAAAAAGTACAATGACTTACAATATCTGTCCAGAATACAAATTTGGACAAGAGAAATATAAATACTCTAAAGGAGACTCTGTTCGTTGCGGATCGTAATAGAGAGTGCAGCTCACCTAAGTCCCCGCAATAACCGCGCCTCTGCGCCCACAAGGCCTCTCTCTCTCTCTCTCTCTCTATATATACACACACCTGCACAAAATAAATATGCAGCAAGTGTAGCATGAGTACGTAAATCAACGCGTACCCAGTAAGTATCCCGCCTAACCTCGAAGAAGTAGTGACGAGGGATCGACTCGAACACTTACTATGGGATATAATTAATATACCAATGATTTAATTAAGCATGGATCACGTAGAACGGATGTAAGCCCAATATCATGAAATAAGTAAACAATTCTTTTGTTAATAAGAAATTTCTTCAAATTCACTTTTCACCATTTAACGATTTATATCTTAGGCCAATGAAGCAGCATCAATTATTATAATTTCCAAAGCAATTAATACAATCATGCGCAAGTCATGTCGAGGTCGTACGACCCGATCTAATATATAAATATAAACTGTGCATTACCGAGGGTCGAACGACACGAACCATAGATGCATCTATTACCCCGCTCGCGGATCATACATGCGACGCGGTCAAATATAAATTTATCAATAAATCATGCATCCATTACCCCGCTCGCGGATCATACATGCGACGCGGTCAAATATAAATTATCAATAAATCACAATCCTTTTATTGATTCTTTTCAAAATAAAGACAATTCGACTTGAAGTTTTTTTACCCCGCTCGCGGATCATACATGCAACACGTTCAAATATAAATTTATTAAGTTATTATAATATTCCTAAATTTCTTTTCAAAAATACGAAGTCCAAATGAAAAACTTTTTGAAAACTTAGTTTCCTCAATTTAATTTCTTCTCAAGACAATTAATAGGCAAACCTCAATCTTGCTTCCTTTCAAGGCAAACAATAACCACAAATCAAAAAACAATATCAACAAGGCAAGATGTAAACCTAATACTACTCGGACATAGGCATAGTTAGTAGTTACGTACGGACTTTTGTCACTTCGTGCGTACGTAGCCCCCGCAATTAGAAACACATATTTAATCAATTTACCTATGAGATTAATTCCCTTTTATAAGGTTAGAAAGGAGACTTACCTCGCTCCGAAGTTCCATCACCGGCTCTCAAGCCCTTCCAATAATTCAAACTGATGCCCAACGCTCCAAAACTAGTCAAATAAGATGCCACCCAATCAAAATATACTCTAATACTCATAATTAATCAATTTATAATAATTTCCAACTCCGCTCGAAAAATCGATAAAGCAACCCTTGGGCCCACGTGCCCGGATTACAAAACTTTTCGAAGATAAACACTACCCATAGCATTACGAACTCCAATATATAATTTATTCTCAATTTCATGCCCAAATTCGTGATCAAATTCCAAGAATATCAATTTCTAGGTTTTTCTTCAAAATCCTAAATTTTCACAAATTTTCAAGTCTAAATCCATATATAATCCAAGTATTTAACTTGCAATAGGTGGGAATCACTTACCTTGGTATGGATAACGAAAATCTCCCTTCCAAGAGCTCCAAAAAGCGTCCAACCAAATGACAAATGGAGGAAAATGGCCAAATCCCGTCTTTTAAAAACCTCACTGCCTAGGCGACCCTTATTTGCGAACGAGGCAAGACCTTCCCGTTCGCGAAGAAATACCATCTCCAGCTCCAAAATTACCCTTCGCGAACGTGAGACGCAGCTCGCGAACGCGTTGCTTAACCGGGCGACCCATCGCGAATGCGAAGGTTTAAACTCCCATGGGCCAGTTCCTCTTCGCGAATGCGATGACCCAATCGCGAACGCGAAGCACAAATCAGCAGCTAATCAAAACCTTCTTCGTAAACGCGTGAACATCTTTGCATTCGCGAAGAACGAAACCAGAACCAGATATCAGCAGCAGCAACGCAGGCCAACTTGGTCTGAAACCATCCCGAAACATACCCGGGTACCCCAGGACCCCGTCTAATCATACCAACCAGTCCCATAATATAACACGGACTTGCTCGAGGCCACAAATCACATCAAACAACATCGAAATCATGAATTGCACCCCAATTTGAGCTTAATGAACTTTAGAACTTCGAACTTCCACATTTGATGCAGAAACCTATCAAATCACGTTCGATTGACCTCAAATTTTGCACAAAGGTCACATTCGACATTATGGACCTACTACAACTTTTCGAAATCGGAATCTGACCCCGATATCAAAAAGTTCACTCCCGGTCAAACTTCTTAAAAATCTTCAAATTTCTAACTTTCGCCAAGTGACCCCAAAATGAACTACGGACCTCCAAATCCACATCCGGACGTGCTCCCAACACTAGAATCACTATACAGAGCTATTCCCAGACTCGGAATCCCAAACGGATGTCGATATCATTGAAATGCACTTCAACTCAAATTTATGAAATTCTTCCAAACGCCAACCTTCCACAATAGGCGCCGAAATGCTCCCTGGTCATCCAAAACCCGATCCGGACATACGCCTAAGTCCAAAATCATCATACAAACCTGTTGGAATCTTCAAATCCCGATTCCGAGGCCGTCTACTCAAAAATCACACTTTAATCAATTTCTCCAACTTAAAGCTTCCGAAATTACAATTTTCTTTCCAAATCAACTCCAAACTTCCCGAAATTAAATTCCGACCACGCGTACAAGTCATTATACCTGAAGTGAAGCTGCTTAGGATCTCAAACCATTGAATGACGCACTAGAGCTCAAAACGACCGGTCAGGTCATTACATTCTCTCCCACTTAAACATACATTTGTCCTCGAATATGCTAAGAACTGTTCTGGAGTTGTCCGAAATTATTGTTTAACACCTCGTGCACCTACCCGTGCTAGCACAACCTAGTTGAG